TCGAGCGTCTTGATAACTAACATGTTTTGCTTTGTACATTGCTGCACCTTCATCTTTTTCGCATGGACATTAGGATTGTATAAACCTTCATACTACATCTGGATAGGTCATTTTGTATTAGTGCATGATGGAATTACATACTGCTTGATGCTTGCTTTCCCCCCCTCCCCTTTTTTTTAAATAATATATCCTGTATATTTGCTAGTTAGTTGTAAACCTTTTAATGTCGTGTTATTTGCTTTCGTTTTATGTGTGAATGTATATGTTGTATCCCACACCTACTTGGGCCTTCGATGGCTTGTAGTATCCTCTAAATAAATAAATAAAGTTTAGTGCTCTACTACGCTTCTCACGCGCTCAAAGTCTTTCTGAAAATGACGGATTTTGGGGTTTTCGATGACGCCCAACAAGTTTCTAATTGACACTATATGTCTATTTTAATTAATGAAAAAGTTAATTAACAAATTTTAACTAATTACCCGACTGATCGTTACGATTGGCCTCCTCTATTATGTTCCCCTGGCCGTATAACTCACCTGCGCAGACCGCATTAATCTAGCTTTTATGGTTTTTGAAAAAAACTCCTGTTAAGCTTAAAAAAAACAGCCTATATATATATATATATATATATATATATATATATATTTATACATATATATTATAGATCATAGATTATCAATTTCTCTGCTGAGTCAGACCCACTTGCTGCATTTCCGGTTAAAAAAGCTTAGTGTCCAATCCCTGACACCAGGATCGCTGTCATTTTCCATCTCCTATTTTACCCCGGTGTTTCCTGTATCAGTCTCCAAGGTATTTGATGTATCTTTTGTGCCAATTTGCCTCAAATGCAAGCATTCCGAGGTGATCTTAAAGGGAAACTGAAGCGGTTCTCTATTTGAGAAAAAACATTTCAATGGCCTTCATTCTACCTCCAGGATCAGGAATATCAAGATTATTTTTCAATTTGGTGCACGGAGGCTTCAGAAATTAATTTTTAAAGTACCGCCGAAGCCCCTCCTTCCCGGGGCGTGACGTCACACTAGGAGCGTTCGGAATATCTGCTCTAGCGCATCTTCAGCGCCTGTCAAAGCTATGCACGCGCACTCTTGCTATTTTCAGAAAGGTCAGAAAGAGACGTCACGACTGGTGTCAGTGCGGGGAAATATACCTGGCAAGCTTGCCGTTGCACGCGCTGAACACACGAGCGACACGCGCTTGGAGGCCCGAAGATCCTAGTATGACGTCACGACTGGTCGAATGTTTTTTCGCTTTTTCTCGATTTTAGTTGCATCTTCGGGGAAAACAAAAGTGATATTCAGATTCACGGGATAAAAATACGCCAGAATTCACCTCTAACTCGTTTTTTTCAAGAAGTGTTTCAGCTTCCCTTTAAACGAAGCAAACCTCACTATAAAACAAATTTTTGTGCGGAGTTTTGCTGTTTTGTTTTTTTTTCATTCAAATCATATAAGATATGCAGGGTGCAAATATGATATTTGTTTTATCAAAATCGTTGAGGTTGATTCAAAACGCTGGAAGGCAGTTGGTGATATTACATTTAGACAATTGCGCGTCTTGAGAGTGAGTAAATCCCTAACATTCTTCGCAAAAAATGTTTTAGTTCGTGTGAAATACTGTGTATCTGCTGGCGCATGCCGCATCATCGAAGAGTGCGCTGTTTACAAAACAAGAAACTTGTTTATGATCAAGAATGCAAACAATTGTCACCATCAGATCAATGCGCATGCAAAGATGAATATTCCCAGCCTAGTAAACCCCCAATAAAGGTGTATTGTCCTGTCAAAGAGAAAAAGGGATACATACCTTGGGAAGTGCCAGCTGAGAACGATTAGGTAAACAATGGTGCTTGCTGACGTTAGAAAAACAATAGTTTGTAAGATATTATGTTCTGGTTTCACCGGTGAAACTTTTTTTTTGGAAATGCGAGTATTACCTCGTAACTGGCAACGCGTGAAATGTTAGGACCTTTAGAGATTTTCGAATATTAAAATTTCGCTTGTTTCATGTTACTGTTCCCTACAGGCCGCGATATATTTTGTTTCATATGTCCGAATATACATAGGGGCGCAGAAATCTATTCAGAAGCAAGCTTACGACATTCTTTTTTACCTACTGTATTGAGGTTTTTATAGAATAAAGCAGGCACGTTACATTGAAGGAACACAAATGATATAAGGTAGCATATCGCTTCATGACAACCAGTGTTGTACGGAACGGCGTTCCAAGGAACGGCGCTTCTGGAACGCGTTCCTTTTAGGAGGAACGAAGGAACGCCGCCGTTCCAATTTGCATCAGTGGAACTGGAACGGGAACTCGTTGCATTTTTACGGGAGCGGAAAAAGGAGCAGTGTTCTTTTTTTTTCGTCCAATGGGGTAATTTTTAATTTTATTTCTACAAGGTAAATTCTAAGAAGTGCAAAAACAATATCGTTACGAAGAGCAGGATCTTGTTAACTTTTTTGTTACTTATCTTAGGGTTTATTTTGTGGGGTCGTCCCTTGGTAACAGTCGGGTGCAGGAGAGCTAGTCGACATCGACTTTTTTTTTTTTGTGCCCGAGACTGCAGTACAAAAAGCAAAACATTTAATAAAACAAAAAGGCACAGAAAGAGGGACATCTCAAACTCAGCTGCGTTTTTTGCTTCTACGAATCCTCATACACCCGGAAATCTAAGGCCGACTACAGCCATCATTGAACTTCCACCATAAAAACCTACAACTACAATAGAATAGGTTATCAGATATCGAATGCACCGTTGTATCCCGAACACTGGTCCCTTAAAAGGTGCGAAAAATTAACATTTATTAAGGAAAAAGCCTTATATGTCTCATCGTTCAGTCAACCTTCAAAGTCCGCGAGCGAAAACACGTCGGCGACATAAAAGGTACCAATGACACGGCGCTAAAAGTGCGTCGTCAGAGAGCGCGCTGTCTTCGGAGGTTCACTATCACATTTACATCGCAACAAACTTAAAAACCGGTATTGTCTCTCTCGTTTGTTCTTGGTTACAAGTCTGTGAACGACCCTTAAAGCGCCGTTCACACACTTACAACCGAGTACGGCGGAGAGAGAGACAAGACCCGATTTTAAGCCTCTTGCGACGTCTTAGGACCATGTGCGCTGCTGCGGAGCTGGTCCCAAGACGTCGCAAAAGGCTAAAAAACCGGTCTTGTCTCTCTCGGTCGTTCTAGGTTACAAGTTTGTGAACGAGCCTTTAGGGATAATATAAGAGACCCGGTGAATGTTTCCCTCTCCCCTTCTCCCCCACCTTCAAGCTGAACAACGAATCCGGCCTTCACGAAAAAGGACTGGTGAAATTCCCCGGAGAAGGGGAACAAGAGGGACAAAGGACAAACACAAATCTCCAAACACAGCTAAGTGATGGGTGCGCGACAGAAAAAATCCGCCTGGTCCGGGTATCGAACCCGGGACCTCTCCATTTCCAATGGAGCGCTCTACCAACTGAGCTGACCAGGGGTTAGACGTCAGTAGAGCAAACGGCCGGACCAAGCAGATTTTTTCGGTCGCGCGCGAGTCACTTAGCTGTGTTTGGAGATTTGTGTTTGTCCTTGTTCTCTCTTGTTCCCCTTTTCCAGGGATTATTTTCGTCATTCTTGTCCAGCTCTCTTGTACCTTTGCATTTAATTGCATTATAATCAAGAACTGGTAGTTTTTGAAGACTGACCTTCTAAAAGATCTACTCTCTTCTCCACTTGCTCGCCTTACGGACAGCAACATCGAGAAGCAACAGTTGTTAGGCTCGAACAAGGGACTTTGTTAGATTGAAACGTGTGTGAGGTTGTTGTAAAACGCTCCTGCAACGTGGGGTTACAGTACATTTCGCTCGTCTGCATTACCCACCACAAACATGAATATGGTTAAACGCTGAGATTTTTAAAGGTGCATATATTAAGAAATCAGGCCTTGCTTCCGCTTGTTTTCTTCTCCTGGTGTCCTTCCATCATGGCATTAAAGTTCGTACGTTGCCATTTGACAAAATAGATAGATTAAAAAAAAAAAAAGCTTCGTTTGATTTAACTAATTATGGTAATTAGCACAATACAGAAGTAACGTATATGTAACGATACGTTACATCTTTTAGACGATAACGGGAACGAGTTCCTTTCTTACAGATGGAACTTTTAACGGGCACGCGTTCCAAAGGTCAGAAGGAACGGGGAACGAGCTTTGGTTCCTTTTCTTGAGGAACGTGAACAACACTGAGGACGACCATACCTCCTTACTTTCTTATCAGTCACCGCTGATCATATCATGTTATTGATATGATTTCTTAAAGAAGAAAAAACTCAGGGCGTGGTTTATAAGATCCCTTGTGCAGATTGTCCAGCCACTTACATCGGCGAGACAAAGAATTTTAATGAAAGAATACGCCAACACAAAAACGACGTTCGCAAGCTCGACCACGAGCGCAGCGCAGTCGCCGAGCACTGCGAAGTCAAAGACCACCGGATTGACTTCGACAACACCAGCATTATCGACGCAGAAACTAACAACCGACATAGGCTTTTCGTCGAGTCCTGGCATATTCAAACGACGCCAGGCAACATAAATAGGTGCCTTGGTGCTTTACCAACAGTGTATGTGAACGGGCTTCGCCATATTCATGAAAGAAGAAGATCGAGAAATGCGCCACATCCCTGAGAAAAGAAAAAGAAGATCGAAAAACGTCGCTCCTCAACGGCCACAGTCGCCCCTGACGAAGAACCGAGTCGGTTCGAAACGTAGGGCCCCTACATGTTTAGGAATTGGTTGGTTGCCATATTTTAATTATTGTATTCCCCAACCAGAGAGATTTCTCTCAAATGTTTAGTTTCATGTTATTGCTTCTTTAAGAAGCAATTCAAAACCTTGAACGCCAGGCGCGCAACAAACACATTGGTCCCTTGAAAGCATACAATAGTGGAACATGCCTGTGGTAATTACAATGAGAAGATGAGTTATAGACATCGGTGTGGCACTCAAAGGTGGCTTGACTGTCCAGCAGTGATAGCACCGTTCCTGTTCCCGTCCTGCATTCCCTTTTTCTTAACGAGCACGTCCGGCGCACTGAAGTTCTTAAATGCGTCGTCCACGAAAGGTTTGTCGTCGTTGGTACCACTCGGCTTCTCGGGCCGCCTGCTAGGCATCAGGATTAGTTTTTCGAGGCGCCCCGTTGGTGCCTCGCAGACGACGAACAGCACGACGCTCAGGAGGTAGCTGGTAACAAGGGCGCCGAAGCACTGCGTCACCTGGAAAGAAAGGTGCAGGAAAGACTCCTTCTTAATTTAGCAGTTCATCTCACAAGTGCCTTACAAAGTTGAGCGCCGATTAAAACGTAGTGTCCGAGAAAAGGAGGCGACATATACGGTAACGCCTTGAGTTGAGGAGCAAAGAGGTGATTAGTTTCCATACCGAGGAACGCATCTTATAATTGTATTTATTAATTTCACCAACATAATGTTTATGGACTGTTTTGGCATAAAGGCGCTTAAATTGTTTTGTTTTTTTTGTAGACGTTTTGATTCTAGAAAATAATAGTAGATTTGACACCGATGGTGGGTCTGATTTTCAATAATTATAAGAACGTTTCAAATTAGGGGGACCCAAAGCTTGGGGGCCCCTTAGGCTCACCACTGCGTATGTGACGAACCCAAACTGCGTTTTGGGTTTTGGGTCGGCGCTCGTTCCTAACTAAAATTAAAAAAAAAGTAGCATGGGGCCTCTGTTCGCGTGGGGCCTGGTTACGTCGCCAGACATGCGGATCCCTTTCCGCTCGTTGCGGAGCGAATTCGTCATTGTCGCTGCCGTATTAGCCACGTTCGTTGCCAGTGAATGATGCCGCCGGCTTTCGTTTTGGTTTATCTCGCTCAAAAGGCAAATCCCGAGCGCGTAGCTCGGCCCATTTTAAAGATCGCCATCTGATTCTGGCCTTTCCTAAGCCTAAAGAGACTCGTTAACCATTGACATGGTAACGTCACGCTAGTCATAGGGTCCTTGAATGTTCCCAGAGTAGCGAAATCCATTTAGCCCGCTTCCCGGAAGTGAATCTCTTCAGAATCCAGTTTTGATTGGCTGGTTTACCCTTGGTGGAGGTTATCAGTCGGCCATTTTGGAGGTAGGCCCAAAACAACAAAAGAAGTATCTAAAACATTTCCTCGTTACCACGGCAGTAGTGGGTACCCACTGATGCGAGCTCTGGGAATCGATGTGTTAGGACTGTACGAAACGTGCGTTGGTTTTCTCTAGATTTTTTTCTTTATATATCGAGTAGTCGCTAATCTGGTTCGCCAAACAAGGTTGCCGGCTCATATGCTCGCTCCGGTGGCGCTGGTGCTGCGTTCGAATCACTAAGCCTGAGACGCTAGGCCTAACACTGTACTTCGATGTGTTTTGAGGCGACAGAGAGAGACGTGACAGCGAGAAGGATGTCACGTACCGCTCGGAACGAAAGAAAAAAAAAACTTTAATAAAAACAAACCAGTGTCGCCTCAAGTCATGAATGTGGATTGAAGAGCTTACACTAAAACGAACGCTGTACTGCAGGCTCTACGCTTCGACCGTGCAGTGCAGCGCCATGTAGGGGTCGTGACTGCTGTGCTGGGACTCGACTCTCAAGCGAAGATTGGGAGGTTTGGTACTCCGGAAAACATTCAGTGACTCAAGCTACTTCGAGACCATGAGCGGATTCTCTTAGCTCGATCAGCCGAGCGTTCGTGACACTTTACCTGTAGCTAAAAAACAAGTCTTACAAGGCTTTTCAAGTCGCTCTAGCTCAAACTTAAATAAAGCAACGGCTTGCAGAGTATGCTGGACCGCCTTCGTTTCGGTTTCGGCATAGTTGAAGGTCAGTGACAAAAGTTAAACGCGGCACACGAGCGCGACAAAGAATTTGAGAACGAGCAACTGATTAAAGCGCTACAGATTGAATTGTTTTGACTGAAATCGTCTAACGTTATACTGATTATAGTTTGTCTTTTGTAGCCGGGTTCATTAGGTTTTACGTTAACTATGATTTGCAAACAAGAAGTTAGTGTTAAAAGCATGCGTTTATGTTTTTTTTTTGTTTTTTTTTTTCAATATACGTTTGACAGCGTTAACGGCTTTGCAAGCTTGAAACGCAAGCACTCCGCTCTGCGTTGAGAAAACGCTACTCTATAAGCCGGCAGCGACAATCTTGTTGCGTTTGTGTTCCCCGATTTTAAGGACACCAAAACGTGTGGGGCCATCTGCTCTAAAAACCTTTAAGGTTATCTTACGGCTCCGTTAACATATTAGGTGTGCTCCAAAAGCGCGTAGATACATAGTACAAAAATATATAAACATAAAAAGAGGGAACATCACTGCAGAAAACGAAAACACAGAATAGCTTGTAGGTGCATTAATTTGGTTAAAGTTAGTTTTATCATAAACTTGCTGTCAAATTATGTACTATTTATATAAGGTATAGAGAATGTGAAAGATTAACTATACTATTTTGGTGATTTGAGCTAGTTAATATACAAGCTCTCTTGTTTTAATTTCTGCCTCAGCGAAGCTTTACTACGTTGAACGTTTAACTATGTTTATAAGGAAAATGCGAACATGTATGTTTAGATTATGAGATCAGACAGTTTCCTGATGTATCTTTATTTTGTTATTACAATTGCGTTCAAGAGTTTTAACTATTTGTGAGAAACAGGCTTTATTTCAAGGCAATGTCTTCTGATAAACGTTATGATCAGTGTTATACGACAGTTTTCTATGGCTGACTGAAACACTTAGCTTTTATAAGCTGCAAGCCTGATGACTATGCAAAACTTTGGATTCTACACGCATATCAACAAACGGTGTGTACTCCGCTTTGATTACAAAAATTAGTATGTGCGTGTAAAAACAAACATTGTTAAGGTGGTCAGTTGGGCGAGTCTGCGCTGATTAACCATATTTAAGATGCGCACAAAAAGACAAGGACGAAGAAAAATAAAACACACAGACAACAGACAAGTGAGCTTGTTTGTTGTCGGCGTGTTTCTCTTCTCAGTCTGTCTTTTCGAGTGCATATTTAGTCCTGTGTAAACACAAGTAACGACCACGAAAAGCTTAAGCCCCATGACGGTCCCACTTGTTCATCACTTACCATGGTGACATGTGAGAAAAAGAGCCTTTCTCTCGCTGTGCACAGGCGAATAAAGTAGTATGGTACATGAAGTAAATAAACGCCGAATGATAGCCGGCTGAGTGGAGAGAATGCTCCCCAAGAGAGGAAGTGGCAGATGAAGCCTGTGAAAGAACATCATGAATATAAACATTGCGTGGAGAAAATGAGAACTCAAGTTATTAGGGTAAATAGAATATTACTTTTATGACCAATATTTATTCATCACCGCCGAAACAAGTGAAAGATACAACGCTTATTTTATTTTAATATATTTCGTATCAGAACTCTTGCCAATACCAGGGTAAAACTATATGAATGTTCATAGTTACGGAAATACGTACAGACACATGTATCGTCATAAAATAGTAATATTTATATACTTTTGCCCCTACACCTTTTTTTGCGTTCAAAAGATTTCTTTATTTTTGTGAATTACTGGAGTGGCTTTTATTTTACGTTTTGCTTGACTGAAATCGTGCGTTTCTTTTATATATCTTAAATACGCCATTATTTTTTTTTAATTTTTATTGAAAGTACAAAGATTGAAGTGGGCGTCCAAACGTCCGCCTGACATGATAACCGTAGCACAGAGTAGTGGGATCGGAGAAATTAGGTTGATTAGTAAATATCTAAAATTGTTAGTGGCTTTGCAGTAACAAGGAAGCCATTTACAGATATTCGAGTACATCTTTGTCCATAAGTAATGTCAAGGTATGCCGTTTGGTATCTGAGATTCACCATAAGAGTTTGAAAAAAAATATTTTCTCCGCAAGAAGAGAACTATAGTCTTTTAAGTGGATGACAGCACGTGCAGTACATACGACATATTAAAACCATAAACCTGCACGAAAAGCAAAGCTATTTTGCTTTTGAGGAACAAAACAAGGAAGCTGAATCTGCAGGGCTTAATTAAAAAAAAACATGGTAATGCGAGATGTACAATATTTACAGCAAACTTGTAACATTTAAAGACGCATAAAAAGAATTACAACACACACCGCCTGCGTACGTATCTTCATTTCGCTTTCCTGTCCCGGGTTCAGGCCGGTCATGTGTTCACGAGGTCGACTGAGCGCTGACTGCCATTTTTCTTTTAAGTAAATGTTCAAATTGTTTGCGAGGTCATGACATTCACAAACTTGTCAATAAAATGGTGGTAAAAAAATCGGAAGTGCAAGACATGGTTTATAGCAGTAGTAGCCTTAAGACGATGATGGCATACTCACTTCCTCTTCCGGTGGCGCATGCAAAGGTGAGCCAGGAGAGCCAGATAGCCCAAAGAAGGCGTTCGGAGAAGGCGAACGACAGCTTGGCCCACTCCGGTGGATGCGCACCCCTGTTCCACTCGTACATGCTAAGAATAGCTGTCAGTCCGCATATCGCAGTGATGAGCCACATGCCTGCTTGGAACAGCTGAAACAAAACCGAAAAGAAGGTTTTTTTATTGCAGCTTTGTGCACTTGATTAGCCGTGCAACTTTCGCTTCACGTATAGTACCAAGGTTAACCTTAGCTTACGCCGATTAAAATTCAATTGCAATATTGGGAGAACGATCGACGTAATTTTCATATTCAATTACAAACCCTCCTATTTTGTTGATGTTTCTCCCAGCAAGAAGTTTATGTCCATGTGCATAATGATTGTACCCTGCGAATAAAGTTCTTAATCACAATGTTTCTGCGGCATCTTTTGGAGCTTGTGGCTAACATTGCAGTTTTTGTTTGTTTGTTATATAAATAGAAGCCGATGAAGAGGAAGCAATGAGTGCGCGCGGGGTTGCGTGAGATCCTCGAGCTTCTGTTCAAATGATCAGGGGGAGGATGCAAAGCTTGTGGCATCGGTCTCTACTCGCTGCTCGTTCGCGCTCAAAGGCAGAACGCCGTCGTTTGCTGTTCGGCGCTCGCTTTTGTCACTGCGTCTTTGGCTGGCGCCGAAATTCTACCATTGCCTCCTTGGCGTAGTGATGGAGCTCTGAGCTTCTGATCATGTGGACGCGGGTTCTATTCACGTCGGGACGTGTTCAAAATTTTGTTCCTTCTTCTAAGTTATATGTTCTTACACTATTGAAAAATCCAGCAAAAACTTCCAGTGACATACGGTGAACGTGCAGTGACATCCGGTGAACTTCCAATGACATCCGGTGAAACCTGGTGAAGTTTCACTCGTTTTCATCCGAAACCAGCATAGTTTACCACTCTTTGTCAGAATATTTGCCGGCAAACAGATTTTGCTGGAACTTCACCTTAAGCGGGTTTTCAGATTTCGCTGGAATGTCATCGGCAGCTATTTTTGTTCACCAGACTCCCCGGTTTTGCTGGAAGTGTTACCGGAAACGAGAGACTCGTTTCACTTGTTTACAAAAATTCACTGTAAGCCGACGCGAAAGGAGGGGGAAGCCGAGACGAGCCGGGGACTGAACCTCTAATTCAGGCGCCTAATACGCACCAAGGACAAGTTCCCACGCACCCTCTCTCATTCGCATTGGGTTCATAGGGGAAAAGTGAGGAGGTCCTTTTGCTCTTTTGAAGACAACCGGTTTCTTTGTCCGTAAACGAGCAGCGGCCCTGAACGGATGCTCAGTGTAGGCCATGTGTGCGGCCTGTATCTTCCAGAGCAGGTGGGTGTGCGGATAAAAAGAAAATATCTTTCAGCGACCTGTTCCTTACGCCTTACGTCCGTCCGGCTTCAGAAGCATCCAGTGAGCGAAAAAGACGTCGGAGGCGCCGTGACTGTGCACGTGATTTCTCAACGGCGGCGGATGTTCGTTCTGCGCCATCATGGTTTTCGCTACGCGTGCTACTGACAGTGTTTATGTGTGCGCGTGGTGAACCCGCGGCGACGGCATCAGTGACGACACCATGACTGTGTCCATGATACATTCTCAACGGCTGCGGATGTTGGTGCACGTTCGGGGTTCTCACTAAACGTGCTACTGACAGTGTGTGTTTGTGTCCGTGTGGAGCACCTGCTTGGTTTTATTAGTTGAACTACCGTACATCTAGAAATTTACCCAGCGACATTGTGAGTACCTTGAAAGATATCTTTTGCCACAAAGAACTCAGTTGTTCCTATTCGGTCTGAGTGCTTTTGTCTACAGCTGTGCAAACTCTTTCATTGGTATCAACCCTGCAAATTAAAGAAATGAAACTTTCAGGATTCTTCTTTCTGAACTAACCGCGTTTTATTTGTTACCAAACCGTCCAGCGTTTGGTGAACATACACCACCCACAGTTCACAGGCTTCTTTCTAAATGCCTTCCGTTGACGCCCGAAAGAAAAAACACAGTAAGTTCTTGTAAACTGCGGAGAATGCAATGATTTCCGGTAAATTCCGGTTTTAGCGGAAGTAAAAGGAGTCCGATTATCCAGTAAAATAATTTTTACAGAATATTAAATTCCAGTAAAAAATCGTTTTCAATGTAGATATATGTACAGGCTGTATTCTGAACGGCGTTTTACAAGATTCATAGCAGTTTCCAAGATGTTCCGTGGTTGAACGTAGCACAAAGTTGCAGTTAAGGGCTCGATGTAGTCCAATGTCTTCAGCACTGCCGCCAGCGGAGGTCGGCCTAGCTAGGCCAGTCATGGCGCGCCTAATATGGGCCTCTGTACAACCCGCCTCTATCGCTCCCAGGCTCCGGGACTCGGGCTGCTAGTGTGCAAGTGCGTCGATCCAGGGGAGCCCACGCGGAGCATTCTGGCCTGGCTAACCTGGCGCGAAACAGAGGAAGACTTATTCCGCGACGTCGCCGACAAAGTGCGGCGGCCGCCACCGCCTGTTGCGTTGGCTACACCGAACCACCGGACTGTAGATTGACGGCTCTTCGACAACGTGACGTAGGCAGGGCGCATGTATGCGCGCGCCCGCGTGTCGTCGGACTATATCGAGCCATTTAGGTTTCTAACGTTAGCTAGCTGAAGCTTTGCTTCGTGATCTTAGTTTAGACCTTATAATGTCATCGAGTTCAGGGTGACTGTGACTCGAGCCTTGCAGTATCAAAATGAAACTATCGTAATGGCAAATATTTTCAGAAGGGAGAAATTTATGTGTTCAGATTTTTAAAATAAATACGATAAAATACGAAAAGTTTTCGCCGGTAGAATTTTTGTTGATTCAGGTCTCTTGCATGAACTTCCAATCCCGAGGTCACAACTTCAGTGGTCCCCAGGAGAGGACACTTCAGCTTCTTTTGAAATTTCGCACTAGAGACAAATGGTTCGCCAAGGTATGCTGAGAGCAACGGGTCATGATAAATCTGGGTCTCGACAATATTCATTGTTTGTCTCCAGATTGGAGCGGACAAATTGTACTTAAATAAAGAAGGGGTAATGTTTATAGCAGTGAAATCTATGATACTTTAGATTTTATTAGAAGTATCGTTTAGCTGAAATTTCCATGCTCCCGAGCGACTACGTCCAGGTGTTTCTTATTATTTTAAGAGATCAACAGTTATTGATGCAACGCCTCTTTTCTATATTTGTCACGTGACAGTTATTATTACGGATGGTGAAAGAAACAATGAAAAATGAAGCAGCGGAAATATTATTCGATAAAAGCGATTTTTCTTCCATTCAGGGTACGTTTGTTTCCGCAATTTTCTTTTTTAATTAAATAAAAATAGGTGCACTGTAAAATTAGATTTAGAATGTTTTAAAAATTAAAAATTTAACAACAACAAACACTTAGAAAACACGCCTCGAATTTTATTAAAAATGAAGTCCGAAAAACGAAATCCTATACTTCATTTCACCTCAATTTCGGGTGCAGGCGACGCTACAAGGTGATGTGACCAATCAGACGGCGTGTAACGTACATCACCATGGTCTTAGGTATGTTTATGTACGTCCTCTATCACGCTGAACCAATCTCATATAGATAAGGCCCAGTTATTTCCGCTTGAAAGCTGATAGATAGGTATCATTAGCCGATTAGTGTCGGCTGCCTCTGGACTTAAGTTGAAGCACAATATAGAGCTTTCTATCGTTTATCACGCGGCTGAAAAATGATAAATCACTGAGCAGTAAATGCATGCCCAGTGTCCAATATACAGCGCATGCTCAGAAGACATTCTACAGCCCAGGAGACAATGATGGCAGGGCGCAGATGGCGATGTTTGCAAAAGGTCTATAGTGGCAGGTTAAATTAAAACTATATCAGCAGATCACGTGATGGGCTGGAAGACCCGCTCCACTAGCGTTGTCTCAATAATGTCGGCTGGTAATTAAAGGGTTATATTAAAAGCAAATCGAATCAAATTGGCACACTTCTAGATTTAGATTTATCACGTGTCGTAAGATATGGTTTCGTTTTGTTTCAACTAAGAAAGATTGAGCTGAGTGATGGCATCTCGATTACATTAGGTCAAGCCACGAGAATCGAACGCTACGTGCCGTTTGCTTACGTACATTTTAAATGGCCCATGTAACAATGACATCAAAGCTGCTTACTATGCGAACAAGACGTGAGGGCGCCAGTGTAAGTTTATAAGTGTAGAATTACCCGAGACTGCAGTGACGATAAAAAACCGGCAGGACATCAGTCCCTCATGGCATTAACTGGATAATAATATTTCAAAGCAGTCAAGTTGCTAAAATAAAAGGGCTGTACAACACTAGAGCGCATGACACTAGAGCGCCGACATTAGAGCGCCGACAGTAGAGCGCCACGACGTTGGCGCGCGCGACACGAGAGCGCCGCGACGTTAGAGCGCACGACTCGAGAGCGCAGCGACGTTAGCGCGCGCGACTCGAGAGCGCAGCGACATTAGCACGCGTATCATTAGAGCGCCCGTCACTAGAGCGCACAACCAGTTTAGCGCGAGTGGCCCGACCCGACCGACCACTTAATGTGCTTTAAGTGAAATGAATGAGTCGACGAAATGTTTGCGTGTGACAAACCAAGAAATGTTACAAAAAGCTGACAGGCAGAAAAAAATATATATCAGTAGCATTCATTTCCGCAGTAAAAAAACATCGCAGCTGACCTAGCTTCATTAGTTCTTTGATTTTAATTGATAAAGTTCACCACCGACCTGACTAATATTTAGTTTAACTTGTTTTACAACTTTCAAAAGGAAAGAAGCTACATGTAACATGCTTAACCGTATGCTGGGGTTTTCAAGATCAATTTCGGGAAAGAAGCTCTCGTGCCAAGTGTCATAAGTTTACCATCCATATTGTCACAAATGACAAAATTACTAAACTCTTAATCCGGGAACCTGTGCCGACAATGAAAATGACATATGCGTTCATGTCAGCGTAGCAGAGGGATCGAGCGCGGGGGCGAGACTGGCAGCATCCGGTGCGGTAGGCACCATTTCCTATGCGCTTCTCGGAATCTGGCCGCCACAGATCTTGACATATTGGTTGTGTCTCTGGAGACGTTTTTGTCAGAAAAAAACTGACCTACGAATCCTACAATCAATCCTTTAAATTTACTACCTGTGGCACTATCATTGTGTAGAAGTTCGGTCTCTATTCATGTCTAAAACTTTTCTGTTTAAACTTTTATTTCTGTCTGTGCTGCCGTTTTTTCTTCGATATTCATATATTTCTGAAATCTTTGGTATCCGTATATTTCTGAATCAAAGCACTCTCATTCGGCCCTAGAATATTGGACTACTTTTTAAGAACAATGATGAAGAAGCTATGATTCTGTAGAATGGAAAGAACGGACAACGCGATAGACAAGTCTTTCTTCTTTGTAGACTCTTTTCTGGGACATGCAAAAAGGGCATTATCTTTAGGTTGTGTTCTATCAACAACAGAAGGCAACGTCGTCACCGCACCCGACGCAACGAATAAGGATTTTAGAAAACAAAATTCTCAAATATATTTCACAGATTTGCAGGGGAGGTTTTTCTGTATCCGTCAAAAGGCTGAAAATCTCTGCATCCGATAAAATTGCACTGAGCTAGCTCCGGTGTGTGTTTTGCTTTGAGTTTTTTAGCGATGAGCTTTCTTCATTACGGTCATGGACGTCACAATACTATTTAAAATTATGTGAGGGACGTCTAAATAATCACTAAATAGATCGGAGCCCAAATGCCCGTCAAGAATAGACCAAATATAGCAAAAAGTAAACTATTTATAGTATATATGTATATCCGAGAAGGCGCACCGCAGCACAGTGAAGAAATCTCAGACTCACTGCTCCATCCAAATGAAGATGCGCTCTCGTGTCGAGCGCTAAACTGGTCTTGCGATCTCGTGTCGCGCGCCCATCTGGTTGTGCGCTCTCGCGTCGCGCGCTCACTGGTCATGCGCTCTCTTGACGTGCGCTCTAGTGTCAAGCGCGCTACTGTCGCAGCGTCCTCGTGTCGCGCGCTCTAACGTCGGCGCTCTAGTGTCGCGCGCTCTAAAGGCGCTCTCCCAAATAAAAGTTATGCAATCTGTGTCGCGGATTCGAGATCTGCTTCGATGTACATAAACTATACTGCCGTTATATGTTGATGTAGAGTGATGCTGTGTGTTGCGAAGTTGTGATCTGCTTCCATGTATATAAATACTCTTGCCGTCATTTAACCCAACTGTGCATCACAAGAAGCCTGCTTGTGTGTATTCAAGTGTAATTCCAAAAGGCGCTGCGGGTATTGGATAAGTGAATAAATAAAATAAATAGTATGTGCATTACTTATTCTTCAGTGGTTCATTTAAGGAGCCGATTATTATTTCGCCGAGCTCTTTAGAAATGCGTCACCTTTAATCGCCATATTTCTCATCCACACAATTGATTTACATCCCAGCCGCTGATCGCGTATAGCACCCAATTTTAAGCTGTTAGTTCATAAATGTGTGATAATCTTGGTCTTTTTTTTTTTTTTTTGTTCTGGCCAATGAGAGTGACGGATCGGTCATTGTCATTCTTCTCCGGAAAACTTCAATATATATTGTAACCTCCTCAGTTAACAAATATAAATATAGCTATCTATGTCCTATATACGTGACAGGTTGACTTCATATTAAAGTGTCTGAAAGACATGATCGCGTTTAATTTAATTGTCCTTGCGGCTTTTGAATGATACCCCGAACCTTGAAGCCCAGGCCTTGTCATAGTCAGTTGAGTCGTGGTGAGCATTGCCTGTACCGTCTCACCATGTTTAACACACCACGTATGCTAAATGGCTAATGCGAAGAAACGTCTCGTACTGCATTATCGAGGACCTTTGAGGGAAGTCGTTCTTTAGATTGGTCTCTTTTCAAATCTTAGAATTCGTATTACACGACACACTACACAGATGCAAGCGTGTAAATTATGTCAGTATATCTAGCAGATTCAGATCTATTAAAAGAGCTGCGGCGCTAGCAGCCAAATTTTGAGTTGAGAGATCAGCTGCAGAGAAGACCGACCCAATAAGCAGCCCCTTAATCAACACACAGACGTGCTAACCCGCACCGCCATCCCCTTACACTCTCCACTGCGCTTCATTTTAACATCGTTAGCACCTGTCTGGCATCTGTACACTATCTCATCAGACTATCATTAGGTGCTTCTCCAAAAGCCTCCATTGTATTAGCTGGCTATCTTTGTATGGGGTATGACGGGAGAACCAAATATAAAAATTACTGTTACTAAAATCTTTGAGGCGAATAAAATACATTATATTGACACAGTATAAGTATTCAAGTAGCAAAACGTGTAAAGGGTTTATTTTCAACATTTAACAGACAATCGGCTAAAATGTTAATATTAAATCTCTAAAAAAACGTGCTGCTTCTTGACTGTGGTATATTTCTCCTGATATTAAACACCCGTCGAAGGTAAGGGTCTTAGAGACAATCGATGGTATATAAGTAGGAAAAGTCCCAGTGGCCGTTTGATTTATGTGGTTTTATCGCCGTTTGTTAGCAGAATGATGGGTAGTGAAATCACAAAGAACTGTTTATTTGCCGCGTCTACATTCGTTGTGCTAATCATATTTCACTCTCTCCAATGTCTAACATTTAATTGCTCTGAAGGATAAGGCTTCCTAGAATCAGAGCTCAATTTCTCTGCGCAGCTCTGGTAGGTGTGCTTGAATGTAGAGAGGCATCTGAGAAAGGCTCTTGAATCAGTGTTCACCAGAGCCTACCGAACGTGTTATACACTCAACTGACAAACGTGTTCACAGTAAACCATCGGCATGATCTGCTAGTTTAATGAAAAATAAGGAACCCTCCAGAGGCACCTACCTTGCTGATTTTCACAGAACTGTACTTGATAAGCAGCTGTTGTGTAATGGCGCCAAGGAAGAATGCGGCCCCGTGGTAGGACGGGTGAGGGTACACCTCATTTAAGGTGCCGACGGCGACCCTGAAAAATGCAATATAATGTATTAGGAGCCACGGCCCTTTTTAGTAAAACGTACAACAAAATTGCGTTTTAGAGCGCAGCTCTTAAGGCTCTGTTATACTCCGACGTAACGAGCGCGCAAACTAACGCTGGCCGAAGTTGGCTACGTCACGTCAGTCACGCCGCTTGCGTCGAAAATTCGCCCTCTTTAAGAGGTATCCACACGAAGGAGAAATCCGCCCCTTTCCTCCGCGGAGCGCGCATCACGTGCGACATACGTCATTCCTTTTTGACTCCTCGCGGCGCCGTTCTCCTCCGTGGCGGAGGCGCGGAGGCTTCGTACTCTTAGCATGAAAGCTGCGCCGGTGCACGCGGCGGAGTCGGGGACGGAGTTTCTCGGGTTGTTGACGTCACGACATTCGTCCGCGGAGTTCTCCTTCGTGTGGACACCCCTTTATACTCCGGCGGGGCCCTGGCGGCTCCCGTGGCGAGCGTCGGTGTGCCGCCGGCGCGGCTCATGCGCAGAATCTGTCTACGAGGGCACGTTTCCTGCGAGAGTGCGCCATTTCCGGTTCTTTTTCGTTTCGAATAGCAGACGAAAATACTCGCGCTTCTTGAGCGCCAAGTTCAAGCGATGGCGTGGGCGTACTTTGCACGACGAAAACTCGCACTTGCACTGTTGGTGCACCACCTGCGCCGCAAACGTAGGCGGTCAATGTACATACGGTACATCTTTGACAAGTGTGCGGTCTACGGTACTGAAGCTTCCTCGTGTCGTAGACACACGCGTGAGGACGAATTCCCTCGATCAGCTTCTCGACCGACCGAGTCCGATTCTTCAAGCATGACGCCCCACAGAGTGGTGCTCCCGTCGTCTGCTATTGCTCGTATTCGCCGCGCTTTCCGCGCGAGGGCTGCCGGGAGCCAGCGCGTGATGCAACCTGGTACGGCGTCGCAGGCGCGGCCGGCGCGGAATACGGCATGCTCAAATTTGGCGTCGAGGCGGTCAGGCTGCGTCGAACGCCGCCGGTCGCGTCGGTCACGCCACGACGCCGGAGTAAAGAGCGTCGGGTTTTTGCCGACATGACGTCGCTGTGACGCGCGCGCACGCGCGTACGCGTTACGTCGTAGTATAACAGAGCCTTTAGGCGCCCGTTTCCGGCTTGAGCGGCGTCGGCGTCGCCGTCGGCGTAACCGCGCGGTGCTTAATGGGTAAATCGCCCCGCTAAATTTAGCGGAAAAATTTCCCCGCTAAATCTAGCGGAAAAATTTCCCCGCTATATCTAGCGGAAAAATTTCCCCGCTAAATCTAGCGGAAAAATTTTCCCGCTAAATCTAGCGGAAAAATTTCCCCGCTAAATCTAGTGGAAAAATTTCACCGCTAAATTTAGCTGAAAATATCTCCGCTAGATCTAGCGGGAAAATTTACCCCTAAATCTAGCGGAAAAATTCCCCCGGTAAATCTAGCGGAAAATTTTCCTCGCTAAATCTAGCGGAAAACATTTCCGCGCTAAATCTAGCGGAAAAATTTCCCCGCTACATCTAGCGGGGAAATTTTGGTCACGTGACCGGGGGGGTCACATGACCTGGGGAGTCACGTGACCCCTCCCCCTAGGTCACGTGACACCCCCAGGTCACGTGACCCCCTCCCGAGATCACGTGACCTCACAGGGGGTCACGTGACCCTTTCCCCTATGTCACGTGACCCTCCCTGAGAACACGTGGCCCTCAGTACCCTTCCCTCCTCCTCCTCAAGAGCTGCGCTCCAATTCGGCGTTACAGGGAGTTGTAAACGGCTTCGACTTTTTTTTTCCTTAAAAAAAAAATTATCTCACGCTTTGAAAGATCACAAAGGACTACTACTTTAAGAACCAGTGTAACTTCAAGGTTTAAGCTAGAGCTCGGTTACACTGTACTTTTACCGCAATGAGCTTCTCTCAGCTAGCGAGGAATTTGACAAATATAGAAAATAACCACCGATAAATTCATTGTCCAACACTTTACGCGGGAGTCACTAAAATAGGAGCTAAATCAGGGACGACGTTTTAATCAAAAAGCAACGAAAATAATATAACTATCGTTGTACGAGAATGTCGACAAACATTAGGGTGTAGTACGCATACATTATGCCATTTTGGTACGCAGTTTTATTTTCCATAGGTTGAAAATTCAAGTCGTATATGATTCAGTCCGGAAATGCTTGTCACTATTTCGGTGTTTACCGTGTCACACGTACATGATGTCCCTTCTTCCTATCATATGTTTTTTTCTTGCAAGCTTATATATCATGACCTTCTCATGTCATGACCTTACAAATTATGGTATTTGATCTTTTGTTTTATATTTTAATTAACTTACTACAAATTCTGAATTGAAATGAATATCGATAAATTCTTCTAGCAATAGTCGTTTTCCACAAGCAGTAATCAGTCATTTGTCTTGCCATTTAAAACCTAGTACCTGCGGGCAACTTTTCATTTTGCTGCTTAAACGAGCGTGCAGTCGAGCTGGTTCAATACTGACATGGTAACACCGGAGCTGGAGGAACCAGGACAGACAATACAAAGCTCCGATTGGCTTTGTGTTCTCCATCCCGTTTATCCCTTCTCCTGGGTAACTATCTCGCGTTTTGTGTTTTGGCGCTCGACTGGCGCACCGTTGGCTGTCTTAAGAAAGCCACAGCGAGTTCGATTACCTCGAGGCGTTTGATAAGCACTAATTATCGAGACATATTGCCACGAATGACAAGTGATGAGGCGATAGTAACTGAAGAAACTAAACGTTGAATGGGGCGGACTTGCGCCCAAAACAAAAATAAAAAGTGAAAAGAAGAAAAGAGCAGAGCGTCGCGCGCGTCGATGTCGGCAAAACCGCAGGATCGAGCGCTGGGGCGAGACTGGCGCAGCATGCCACGCGGATCCCCTTTTGTACACGCGTGGGCTTCTGGAACATTCGGCCTAGAACGTTCGGCTCGTAGAACATTTGTAACTGGATCGGACGAGAAGGTTCTCGAACTTACAAGAACGCCATCTAGAAAGAATAAATAAAAGAGCATTCCGCTCCCTGGAATCGAACCAAGATCCTTCGCGCGACAGCCAAGCACGCTGACCACTGGGCCACGCACGCGCTCGCTCAGCAACACGCGTGGCATTACTCCCCCCTTTTAAAAGCGCATCACCTCGATGCGACATGCCAAGAAACAAAACACAAAAACAAACAAAAATAATGGCAAACTACGTAAATTTGTGAAATACAGTCCTATCGAGCATAGTAAAAAACACGCTTCACAGTCCTATCGAACGTAGTACGCCTCGAGGCATGCGACGTGGACGACTTCCGGTTGTGCAGTGCGGTGCGATGAGTTCCGTATTCCTGGAATCGAACTCGAATCCTTCGCGCCATAGTCAAGCACGCTAACTACTCGGCCACGCACGCGCTCACTCGGCAACGCGCGTGGCAATATCTATCATTTTGGATTGCATGACGGAGTTTACATAAAGTCTACTAAGCGCAAGCCGAAAAATAGATTGTTACGCCTATTTTGCGGCTGTGGTGCAGCGGCTGAACGGGTTAGTTTACCAATTGTTGGGATGCACTCACAGCTACCGAAAGAGCTGTGGCTCACACTCACAGTTATCCAACACGGCTCACGCACTGGACTTGTTTGCTTCAGAAACACGCAGAGAAAAACAACAAATGCCGTGAGATTGCACTTCTGGTGCGGCTTAATGGCCTCCATTATCTCATGGCGTCGGGTGCGCTTTGCTTATGTGAAAGCGGAAGCATAATATTTGTTAATCAGATAACAGTTGTCCAAAAAAGCTTAGCGCCATTGTCCGAAACGGCGTAAAGCACGACAGCCTCACACCGGAACGGATCTGCCGCCTATGTTGAGGCACATTTTTCCGCGTTACTTTGGGTACATAATTCTTGTACGTCTCTTTATTGCTTGCCAACTGTGTGCCTTGGCATGCGCAAGCCGCTATAGGGAATAAACCTTTTGTTAGAACAATACTTATGTCTAGAAAGAAATATAATGCTTACGTGAAATTATCTGCCATAGGAACGGCGAATGGCGTGTACACTGTGTTATGTACCTCCCACATGGAGATGGTGCAAGCGATCAATGACAGCACACTGAACATGGTGACGGCAGTCCACAATCTCCTAGAAAGATAAAGTTTGCTTAATAACATATATAAAACCTTTACTTTTCTAAGACAACAAACAACTAGAGACCAGAGTAATTCAAGCCTTGATAACGGGACTTTGAGCCATACTAGCTACCTTGTGAGGAAGAAAAAGTTCAAATGTACTACCTACTAATACTGTGTCGTGGATATAAAATACCTAAGTGATACATTTTATCTCGAACTGGTTTTGAGCAAGATTCATTCATCAAGCGCCTTGCAGTGATTGCCTTTAGCCACAAAATAGTGTGGCAAATAATTATATAAACTCACAAAGTCGATAAAGGACTAGTTCATTCAAACGCAGTCTTTGTTATTTTGTCACACATTAAACGGTTTTATTTGAGCTCTTCGGTATTTTATATTGATTGATTACTTGTCTCGTTGCTCAGTGTAGCTCCCTTGTACCCGTTCATAAACGTGCACAGCCGAAAGGTAGGTCGCAGACATCATGCGAAACCCTTTTGAAACTATTTGAATGACTAATACAGTGCAATAATTGAAAATATTGAAGTACATAGGAAGCACACTGGCTCCGTCTAAAACTTTATGATTAAATATCTAGCACAACATCGCTGTTGGAAGCACAAATTGGTGTAATTACTAAACGGGTCACTTCGCCAAAGGTTAAGAATGCTTTAAAATTGCCATTTGAAATGCACTTATTACTCCTTCAAGATAACGCCGCCGACCGTGCTGGACTTCAGTGTATGAATACAAAGTTGTCATTTGAATTGTGTTTGCCTGAAATCTACTCCTTATCATTTTTCTTTGAATCACTTTTATTTGGCACATTCCTTTTAAATATTTGCTTCCGGTGGTATACAATAGGTTCTAGCACTTTTCAGAATGCAATGTTTTCTTGCGATAGTGAATAATGACGTTATATTGTCCAGTATCTCCCATACCAAAACTGAGGGGAAAAAATAGGGCTGTGCTTCAGCATTACGCAATATCATTTCTGTCTTCCATGAAAGATTGCCTGCCTGTCCCTACTCTTCCGTGTCCATTTATTTTGTTTGCATATTTAAAAATACTATAATTCTCTCCTCCGTATATAATCTGAAGAACCTAATGCAATATGTGTCGGTGTACAAAACACACAAAAAATATATTAAAATTACATATAACAATATTATATTAACAAGACATTCTTACAAATAAAAAGGTTACAATTAGCAAATGTGGCTCACCGAAACAGGAAGCTACTTACTTTAATACGAAAATATTAACCATTATTAACAATCATCATTGCCAAGATATACTGGTTAACAAAATCATCGCACCATAAAGAGATATGACATGCGCATACCCAAAACGACACGGAGCAGCAACAACCCGTCATTCATAACGCGACAAAAAATATATTGTGAGGGTGTTTTGGGGACAAAGAATAAGCAGGTGGAGACGACAGTTTGCCCAGCCAAGAATGAATCTATTCTGAAACGCGCGCGCAATCACGCCTCAGCACGCGCTGTCCATCGAGCACTTCGGCGCCCAAGTTGGCAGCGCTGGTCGCGCTACTTGGTCGGCACAAATGGTCCCTCTTCGGAGAAGGTCATTCTGGCCGAAAGGTAGAGCCAGCATGCTAAGGTTCGGGCTGGCGAGGTTTCACTTAGCGAAAGCTAAAACGTCTCAAATATACCAGATTCGAATTTGAGTGTATTTGAAGTACAGTTGATAATTGTAAGTACACAAAAAATAGACCGAAAACGTACACTTCTTTTTTTTTTACTTAGTACTAAAATATATTTCTGAAAATATTTTTAAAATACCCTCACTTAAACTACGCCTGAAGTTCCTTTCATGCGTTCTGAAATATGTAAATTCTAAATTAGTAGACACAGAATACCTTTCACATAGATTTCTTAAAATATTTATTTATTTTATGCACAATATACTCCAACCCTAATAAAAATGCAGCTATCAAAATATGTCCAGAATGCTCTTAAAATTCCTGGAAATCGTAAATACCGTTGTGTTACACCTAAGTATGCTTTGACTGCAATACTGTGGTAGTTTGACTTAAACTACCGAAGTATTGAAAAGTTCGCCTATCCGAAGTTCACTTCAAGCAGATGTGGAGTACAGTGAAGTGCCTAAAGACAACATTTGATTAGTTTGTCAATTGAGCTCTGCAACATCGCACTGATAAATCATCACAGTTTATGTTATTGTTTCCTTTTTATATCAAGAACACACCTGATGAGTTTCTTGCACACCAATCACAAACCGGGCTCGGAAACTACAACCACAACACTTGTTGACGCTGGAAAGCTTCAGCAGTGCTGTGAGCAGATATGTTTGGCGTGGTTGTGTTTGCGCAATGTTAGTTCACTGAATGTATATACTCACCACTCTACGTGATGTGAGTAACATTAATATAGTGACGTTAATGGCCGTATTAAATAGTCAACTAGTAAAGAAGAGAAAAATAACTATTTTAAAGTGAAGAAACTGCCTTGAATCGCTTCGTCCTGAGTAGTGCTATGCAGAGAAGCAATAACATTTCTCCTAGGAGCCGTTTTTGTGGATATTGTTTTAGCGACTGGGCCAAATTATTATTAGTTATACCAATGCTTTTTAGTAAGAGATCTCGTCCACGAACTTCAAAACACTGTTTCCCCTTTGACAGACTCCTGAGGAGAAGATCCAAAACTTGAAACCTCAATAAGTGCAGAGGTCGTCCAGTACCTCCAATACGTAGACTATATAAGGCTCTGGAGCAGACAACGGGACTGTGATTCAGATGTTCATTGCGTCATGGTGTTTGTGTTTGTGTTCGTTTCTAATGTGTAATTGTGGAATGTATGCGGTAGTAATTTCAAATACCACAAGAATACCATTTACTCACAAAATCCAAAATAAAAAAAAAATTATGTAGCAGGTTTTTAACGCACAAATGGCATCTTGAGGTGGAAGGAATTAGATTTTTGGTATATCTAAAATCTCTTGATTAACGTCTATGATATATGTTGAACACCTTACGCGCGAATATCAAATGTGTACAAAATAATACAGAACGAATACAAAATAATACGCATATTCAATATATTTCAACTATCTTTCAACTGCAGCCACAACGTACATGAATGGACCCAGACAAACAGAACATTTAGCTATGTACAACGAACTAGCCCAAACCAAAGTCCTAGCTTTATATATCCTCCTTGATCAATAAAATTCTCACAAAAGAATATTTTTATTTGCTTACATTTTTTATATATAGAGTATTAGAGTACTGTTCTGATATTTCCAATAACGATGATCAATTAAAATACAATGGCTGTGCAAAGGCTTTGGTGGCATATCGAGTGACATTATCGGGGTCATCGAAACTATCTCTTAAAACACTAATATCCTCAATCACTGAAAAACACCCGGTAGATACAGTGTGGGCAAACAGCGTAGGGCACATCAATAGCCATTGTAGTATCTACTTACTTCTTGAAGAGCTGAATGATGAACACCGTCACCACGAAGAGCTGAAAATCTGTGGACATGTACCAAAGGTGGCCGTACATCCCCTGTAATAAAAACACAATACACAAGAACTGCATAAAGTGTGAATGCATACATCCCAGTATATGGTGCTCATGTGTCTTACGGATTTAAAACCACGCATGTCACGTGTCTTATTTCAATGCACAATTAAAGTATCTGTCATTATCATATATTTCGGTTAAATATAATTGCATTTAAGTCAAACTTTCTGTGCCCCTTTACTTTTCAAACAATTATCGCCCGCCGATCCTCAGCAAAGTTGGTTATGTGCAGCTGGGGTGTTTGTTCGTCCCCTCCACCCCCTCCTTCGCCTCATATACGGCGTTTCCCTTTTAGTGCTTGCGTAGCGGAAGCTTCAATTCACTGCTCCGGGCTTTCAGCATGGCTCGCGAGCACACACCCTCGTGCTATACAAGCGTCGTTCAGGGCGACATGATCGTGCTCATAGCTTCGGCTTTTACCCAATGCCAAGTGTAGTGTCGCAATCCTCGCGATATCAAACAGAGATAACTCAAAATTAGATCATTATTACGTTCTCTTCAGCTTCCCAGCGAAGTTGAATCTTGCGGCTGCTGACCACTTGTATTTTGTAAATTTAATCGTCTCCAGCAGAACTTTACTATGTCTTTATGCACTAATTTGGTAATTGGGGTCCGATGCTTTGCTTTTCCATTATCTTCTGGCGCGAAGTTAGTTTCATTAAAGAGGAACGTGAACACTAGATGTTGGTTTAAAGCGGCGTGATGATGGCGTACGCGGGAGGATGCTACACGCATAGTAAACCTACTTTATATTTAAAAAAATTCAGTTTCTGACGATGTTCATCAAATATTCATATCTCAGCGTGCCTTCTTTTTAATAATAAAACTGTATTACTAATATATGTTGTAGCGCTGTGTATGCCCATAGACAATGTACTCTTTCATTATGCATTCCAGAGTATCACTTACAATGTGAAGGTCCTTCGTGAAGTTCCGAATTTGAAGCAGAAGCGCCCAGTACTGGTTTCTAAACTCCGTATAAAAACTGCCAAAAATCTCTTTTGCGTTGGGTCCATTGATAAAGAGGGGCAACAGGAACGTGCACATAATAACGAAGAAGATTGGCACTGTGCCCCTGCGGAAAGAAGAATACAGCGACTCTAGCATGGAGCTCATTCTGGATTAGATAAAGCAGACTTCCGTTGCATACTGCTCGAAATAGAGTATATATTGTCACGAATGACGAGGTGACAAACGAGGAATAACTGAGGTAACTGAAACGTTTAATGGGGCGAACTTGTGCCCAAAACCACAAGGAAACAGAAGATTACAACAGAGCGTCGCCGGCGTCGAAGCCGGGGTAACAGCAGGATCGAACGCCGGGGCGAGACAGACCGGAGATTGCCACCTGGGGTCATTTATGTACGCGCCTTGGCTTCTGAAACAATCGGCAGAGAACGTTCGGCGATTAGAGCATTCGCAACTCGATCAGAAGAGAATATTGTCAAACTCACGAGAACGCCAAGTTGCAAGAATAAATAAAAGAACATTCCACTGACTGAACTCGAACCTCGACATTTTCTTGCGAGAGTCAAGCACGGTAACCACTCGGTCACGCACGCGGTCGCTCGCCGACGCGTGTGGCATTTCTCCCCAATTTAAAAAAGGCATCGTCTTGATGCCACGTGAAAGGCAACAAAATAAAACAAGAAACAAAGCCACAAAAACAAATGAATTGGCAAATACGGAAGCTGGCAAAACACAATATTATCAAAAGTTGCACAAGATCACAGTTCACAGTCATATCGCGCGTAGTACGGCTTGAGGCACACGATGTAGGCGACTTACGCTCGTGAAGAGCGGCGTGATGAAGTCCGTGCTCCGTCCGGCCTCACCTCGTAGTCCAAATCGCCGTGTCGACGAAGCACTCTGTAGGGTCCGAAGTAGCGCTTCAGGAGTTTCTCGCTTAGACCGCGTCGTCGTATCGGTTTACAAACCCACACACGGTCTACAGGTTTGAAGCGAACGTCGATCCGGCGAAGGTTGTACCGGGTAGCATTGACACGTCGTTGACCTTGAAATCGGAGTCGGGCGAACTGGCGAACTTCCTCGGCTCGTTGAGCAACCACCGGGGCGTTGGGGATACTATCGTCAACTAGGTCGTGGGGTAGCATCGCGTCGAGCATTGTCGTTACTTTTCTGCCATACACCAGCTGAAACGGGGTTAATGTTGTGGTCTCTTCCACCGCCGTGTTGTAAGCAAACGTGACGTAGGCTAACACCTCGTTCCATGTCTTGTGCTCTACGTCGACATACATGGCGATGATGTCGGCGATAGTTTTGTTCAGCGGTTGTGTTAGTTTATTTGCCTGCGGATGGTACGCAGTGGTTCGACTGTGACCGGTGCCACTGAGACGAAGGATCACTCGCGTCAGCTGGGTCATGAACGATGATCCACAGTCTGTTATGAGGACTTCGGAGGCGCCGTGCCGGAGAAAAATATACTCGATGAAAAACTTGGCGACTTCAGCAGCCGTACCTGATCAAAGGGCTTTCGTCTCGGCGTACGGTGTGAGATAATCTGTGGTGACGTTTGTTCAGCGGTTTTCTGACATTGACGGCGGGAAATGGTCAATTAAATCCATTCCGACCTGCTGGAACGGCGTGGACGTGGGAGAGATCGGATGCGGAAGTCCTGACGGCTTTGTCGGCAGTTTCTTGCTTCGCTCACACTCGTGGCATAATCGAGTGTAGAGGTGAACGGTCTTCGGTAGCCTCGGCCAGTAGTACTTTTCTCCAATCCTGGCGAGCCTCCTGCTGTAGCCAAGGTTTCCAGCCGCTGGGTCGTCATGGCATCCTTGGAAGATTTCTTCTCGAAGACCAGAAGGAATACCCAACACCCCTGCCGTGTGATTATGGACATAGTTCTCTTTGTACAGCAACCCTTCCTGTATGGAGAAGGTAGGCAGGATTCGTAAGAAAGCACGGGGAACCGCACTCGCTCGTCCCTCTAGGTGCTCGATGAGCGCTCGTAGTTTAGGGTCGTCACGTTGGAGTGCTGCCATGTCACTGATATCCAGAGTGCTGAGGGAACACTCATCGTCGTCGTTTTTGATGCAGGCAGTAAGTAGGCAGGACCGGCCTCGACTGGGGCCCTTGACAGGCAGTCGGCGTCATTGTGCTTCCGACCGGATTTGTACACCACGGTCATGTCAAATTCCTGCAGTCGTAAGCTCCAGCGGGCGAGGCGTTCGGGGGGTCCTTCAGATTCGCGAGCCAGCAAAGCGAGTGGTGGTCCCTCGACCGCGCGAAACGGACTTCAATACTAACATGGGCGGAACTTTGTTATTGCCCAGATGACAGGAAGACACTTCTTTTGAGTCGTTGAGGAGTTCCTCTCCGCCTTAGGCAGCGTCCGAGTCACGTATGCGATGACTCGCTCTGCCCCGTCTTGCATTTGGACTAGTACCGCGCCAAGTGCGGTGTTACTGGCGTCCGCGTGGATCTCTGTTTTACCAAACTGGTCACAATGGACAAGACTCGGGGGCGTCTGGAGTCTTCGTTTGAGCTCATTGAATGACCGCTGGTGTTCTTTTGTCCATTCAAACTTTACGGCGTCTTTCGTGAGGTGCGTCAGCGGTGCGGACAGCTTGGCGAAGTCCCGAATAAACCATCTGTAGTACGCACAGAGTCCGAGAATTCTTCTCACGGTCTTCTTGTCAGAGGGCGGTTTAAACAAAACTAGGGCACGAGTCTTTCCGGGGTCAAAGAAAACACCTTTGTTGTTTACAACGTTGCCAAGGAACTTTAGTTCACCATAGGCGAACCGACACTTTGTTGGCTTGAGTGACAGGCCGGCGGTCTTGATGGCTTGAAGCACGGCTCGAAGTTGCCTCAGGTGTACGTCGAAACCGCGTGAAAATACCACGACGTCGTCCAGGTAGACACGGAACCTCTGCCATTTCAGACCGTCCAGCACGATGCCCATGACACGCCGGAAGATGGCTGGTGCTGTACAAATTCCGAACGGCATCACTTTGAATTCGTACAGGCCGTTGGGGGTGACGAACGCATTTTTTTCGCGGTAACGTTCGTCGACTTCAGTCTGCCAGTAACCCGTCCACAGGTCCATCGACGAAAAAATGTCGGGAGTGGCGCAGCCGGTCTAACGTATCGTTGATGCGGGGGAGCGGATAGACATCCCTCTTTGCCACCACGTTCAGTCGATGATAGTCATCGCAGAACCTCAGCGTCCCGTCCTTCTTTTTTACAAGGACAACAGGGGACACACACGGACTTCTTGAGGGCTGAATGATGTCGTCGTTGAGCATTTCCTCGATTTGATCCTGAATCACCTTTCTTTCCTTTAAAGCGACTTGATACGGCGACCGGTGGTCAGGGAGCCCGTCCTCGTCGGTAATAATGCAAAGTTTCGCCATTGGTGTTTGACGAACTTTCGACGACGTGGCAAAACAGTCACTAGATTCGGCGAGGAGGTCAAGTAGTTGCCTGCGCTTGGGAGCTGGTAGCCCGGGGTTGAAGCCGAACTGCAGCGGTGACGTGCTCATCTGCTGTGACGACGAGGTTTCCTCGGATATTGCGGTGAGCACGGCTGGCGTCCGAAGCTCTCGACGTGGTCCACGATGCTGCCCTTCGTTAGGTGCTGCGGCTCCTGTCGCAAGTTTGTGACGAAAAGAGTTGTACGTCCTTCGTGGAGATCCGTCACGCCTCGTGCGACGCCCATTTCTTTTTGAATGAGCAGTTGGACGCTGCCTTCCAGAAGAGCTTTGCCGCGCATGGCTGCGTCGGTTATGGCGGTGACGAAAACACTCGACCGCGGCGGCAGGTTCACATGGTCGGCGATAACTCCGATCGCGGTTGACGTGTTGTTGTTCTGCAAGGAAGTAAGAACAGGCTTTCGCAGCGTCAACTGGTTTTACCCGAGGTTGAAGACGGTGCCGTGCTCGCAGAGAAAATCTGTTCCAGGGATAACGTCTTTCGCACAGTCTTGCACAACGACGAACTTCACAGGACACGTCTCACAGTGGATATCGACGCGAGATGTGCATCTTCCGATGGTGTGATAAGGTGCCCTCCAGCGGTTCGTATTTGAGGTCCATCGCACGGCGTCGTCACTTTATGTAGTTTGCGAGAGAGCCTCCCACTTATGAGTGAATAGTCTGCTCCGGTGTCCACGAGTGCCAATGCGTCGTAGACGTCGATAACAACATTAAGATTGTTGAACACCGATGCAGGAGCGTCATTGTTATGTGTAGCGTCGGGAAAGTGGGACCGCTCTGTCGTTCTTGGAGCCTCTATATTTGAGTCGTCCTCGGCAACGCCACCTCTCTGCGTTGCCGCAGTTAGTTTCCCCGGCGAGGAGCGAGAGGCGACAGGCTTTCCCGTCGGGGTGGGTGCATCGGCGAAGCTGGACGTCGCAGCGACAGCGACCGGAACTCATGGCGGGACGCAGGCTCGGGGGACTGAGGTCGTTGCAGGTACTTGTCGATCTCCCGAGAGCGTTTACCATAACGGGGGTGCGGGTCGTTCGGGTAGAATCTGCGCAGCCCGAGTCGTCCGTATGGGCATCGGCGGTAGGTGTGGTCGGCTTCCCCGTGGTGGAAGCACAGAGGGTGTCGGTCGGGCGTCCGCCATACTTCGGTCTTCTGGGGTGCGCGGGGCTCCTGGCAGGCGTACTGAGCCTAGCCGTCGTGGCGTCGGTCGTGCTGCGCCGCAAGAGACTGCCATCGGGGCGGCGCGGCGTAGGCGCGAGGAGGAGGCGGTGGCTGTCGGGCCACTCTGGCGTAAGTCAACGTGTGGTCCTCGGAAGCTGCCACGACGTCGGGAGCCTCTGGTTGAATGGCTTTCTGAACTTCATCCCGCACGGCCTCAGTGATGGAAAACGAAGCTGGTCTGTCAGTGGCAGGTAGCAGCTGTCAGAGCTCTTCCCGGACGATGTCGCGAATAATCTTGCGAATTGTTGGGATACTGGAGCAAAGGGCGCCGCTAGATGCCCTGAGGGCAGCGAGGCCGGACAGTCTCCGGTAGTGGATGGCTCTGGCTTGCAGGGCACACTTGATGCTCGTTGCCTCGGCGACAAAATCTTTGACAGTTGTCGGAGGGCTTCGGACTAGTCCACCGAAAATGTCTCTCACACCCCGCATGAGGATTCGTAGTTTCTTCTCTTCTGTAGCCCGAGGGTCGCCGCGGGCGCTCAGGCGCAGAGCGCCCTCCACAAAGCCGGTGACGCTCTCGTTGGGGCCCTGGGCTCTGGTTCGCAGTAGGTCTTCGGCTCTCTCTCGGTGGTGGTGGTTGATGAATGTACCCTTCAGTTCGGTCCTGAAAATGTCCCACGACGTCAAAGAGGACTCATGATCTTCCCACCAGTGCTTGGCGGCCCCCTCCAGCGAAAAATAGACCTTGTGCAGGCGCTGATTGTTGGTCCAGCCATTGTGGCGGGCAACGCGTTCATACTGGTCAATCCAGTCTTTGACGTCTTCGCATTGCTCGCCGTAGAAGGGAGCAGCCGTCCGCGGTGCGACGGGCAGGTAAACGACGCCAGAAAGTGCCAGGGTCTGGGGCTGGTTGGCCATTGTCGTCTTCTTCGGTTTGTGCTTGTCCGGCAGCAAAGCCAATTCAGGAGCCTGTCTCTCGATGCGGAGGCCGGCCCGAGTTTCACGTTCCTCGCATAGCGGTCTTCTCGACGGGCTTGGAATGGGACTTGCGCTGCGGGCCCTCGTAGGAGTACTCTGCACGGACATCCGTTACCCCGCACCTCCGCCAAAGTGTCCCCAATGGCGAGGTGAAAAACGAGGAATAACTGAGGAAACCGAAACGTTTATTGAGGCGGACTTGTGCCTAAACCAAAAGGAAACAGAAGATTACAACAGAGCGTCGCGGGTGTCGAAGTCGGCGTAACAGCCGGATCGAACGCTGGGGCAAGACTGACCGCATATCGCCACCATCGGCCTTGAACGATGGGCGACTAGAACATTCGGAACTCGATCAGACGAGAATGTTCTCGAATTTACGAGAGCGCGAAGTTGAAAGAATAAATAAAAGAACATTCCCCTGACTGGAATCGTACCTAGACTTTCCGCACGACAGTCAAGCGCGGTGGGTCGCTCGCCGACGCGCGTGGCAATATGTTGTGTTGGAAGTTTCAAACTTATTCTGAGATTTATCCATTCCGATTGCACCGTTATCCAAATTTATGTTTTTATCATTATCTAATAAATATTTTTAAACGTAATAGAATTCAAAAGGTTCGTCACACTACACGAACACATTCAAAACAAGAAAGATGCACCGAAATTGCTTTTTGGTTATAGAACAGATAACCTTGAATGTTGAGCGAATAATTATTATTTTGAATGTTTTTAAATGGCCGTTCCAGTTTTTTTAGAACGCGCTCTTCCCTTCTTTTAGATATTACAACAAGACGCCACTGTAGTAACGGTAATAGTGGTAGCTACAAAACGCTACTTATGTAATCAGGGCTATCAATAAAAGGACTATAAGGGATATCAGACATATTTACGAAACTTAATAGAAGAAATAACTTAACAGAAAACTTGTTTCGAACGATGCGGAGAGCAGGTTGTCTGCTTCTTGCGAAGGAGTTGTGTTAACCTCAGGACGTCGCCAAGCTCTTATGGGCTGATTGAAACAAACAGTGGGTAGACCTCAATGCTAGATGCCTAAACGCCTATCCACTATTTTTTTCAATCAACCAATAAGAGCTTACCGTTCTGACACAGTCGCAACCCTTGCGCAAAAAAGCACACGTCTTGCTCTCCGCATACCACCTAATTATATTGTCGCGATCTACTTCTCTCATAAATAAAAAAAATACTCTGAATGATATTTGCAGTAACCACCATAGGGGATAGAATAGCAAAACAGTATAGCGACTACCCTAACGATGCCTTTGATGCGTAGTGTGTCTCATGCCCGCAACAGCTATTTATACCCATTTTGTTCTCTGCCTTCGGAGCCAAGTTTAAGTGGTGTAATGCTACAATTTATAAAAATTTGCACATATAAATAATTTGGACATTTCAATATCATACAGTAGGTACCACAATAAATAAAAAACTCCTATACCATGGACACCGTGGTCACTATACCTTAAGCATTTTTGCAGCTCTTACCTAATCCACCGCCGGACGAGAACAATGCATCCTCCAACAAATCCGTTGACGCGTTCTCTCATCAGGTTGTACGTCAGAAGAAAGCCGCTGAAAAGGCGTAATAGATAATTGTGACTCACAGTGTCGAATTGCAACGCATCATATGACAATGCGAATATTATCGATAAGCTTGTTTCCTCTTTTAGAGTGTCGCGTACTCCGGAATTATTTTACACTTAAACAATGCTGGTTAGTTAAAAAATTAATCGTTTCGCACACCTGATATGACAACCATATAAAAACAATTTATTTGCTCGTAGCCTTAATTTAGGGTGAGAAGCGAGGGAGGACGCTACGTGGTGAAAGATGAAGGCCTTGAACACTGTTGTGTACTTAGAAATACAATATGAAAACAAACATTATCTTAGATTGTCCACTAGGCTGTGAATGAGGTTTATATAAAGTTAAAAAAATAACACATCGAGATGTTGGTTTAATTAGGACATCGCAAAAGCATACAGGTAATCAGCTACTTTTATCACAGCATATGCCGTGCGCAAAGTAGTTAACGATGGTGTGCAGTGCTTTATTTCTCGAAGCAGCGAGGTATTTCATTGTTGCAAATAATTATGTTTTATGAGCAAACTCAATTTGAGTATTTGCACATGGCATTATAGTTAACTCGTCTGGAATTCTTAAATAAAAAATTAGTGCGACCAAATAAAAGCTACGCCTGAAAAAAAAAGAAAGAAAAAAACGGACATTTTCTTCTTTTTTTAAGCTAGATAATACCATGGTGTCCTACAAAGCATATCTTATCTATTAATAAACTTGCAGTAACTACGGATGAGTTGTTTATAGAGCAGAAATTGACCATGTACATAGACCTTTCAAGAGTGCATTTTGATTAATCATCATGGGATCGTTATAACGACTTAGGATAAAAGACTGTTTCACCGTAATAATTTTAAGCACATAATTCGTCACTTGGAGCTGTTTGAAAACAAGCATCAATCACTTGGTGAAGAGGTTCTTCGCACTGGATTTGTTAGTGCACTCAGTGGTAGTCTTGTTAATATCTAACCAATCCCCGCAAATAATCACCTATCTGGCTGCCTGCCTATTTTGATTCAAGTAGCACCTACCCGCATTCGTTCCACTTTTCAGGACTCATCTCTTCTGGTCTAATACTGTATATTTCTATTTTAAATGCCCCCAATCAAAAATCGCCTAGCGCATGCTGCAATTTATCCTGATGGTCCTGGTTTTTTTGGTTTTTTTTTTGTCCACATCGCTCAATCGATTTGGGTGTCTAAATATCATAACCTGCTAACAAGCCCAAAATAAAATGACCGCCCATATTTTACGATGTCAGTAAGTAATTTAATGTTTTTACGGATTGGAAAAAAAGAGAACCTGGACACTGACTTTCTTTGATGCTTGCCTTTTTTGCCATTCACCTTCGTGGAGAATCCACAGCTGCTGAACTGGGAAGTTCTGAAAGCTATCACATTGTGTTTTCCAATGGCTTACAAGTCATCCATTTGAATTTGTCCTCTTTTGCATGCAGACACGTAATAAACCACATGTCCTGCGTGTCAAAAGGTTCTATCCCCAGCAGCGAATTACAACAAGCTTCGGGCTTCACAAAACGCCGAACACCTAGCCACTAAACTTTTCACACTCATGGGCTAGCTGTGATAGAATTTATTCTATCAAGAATTACACCGATACAAAAATAGGTGATTCTTTTTTGACTATGCTTCACGAGTAAGTAAATTTTAACATTTATTTTATAGTTAGAATAGATTGGTGCTAAATGCAAACCTTGAAATGAAACCCCCGATAATATATTTTTATCAGAATACTCACGCCAGAAAGAGGAAGGTGTCCACACTCAGGTAGCCAGCCGTTATAAAGCAGCCTGCGATGTCGTCGCCATAGTGAAGTGCATTGACCAGACGAGCTGAGGAGAAGAAAAGCATAAAAGTGCATTGATTTAGATGCTTTGACAAATTATTGTGCTACATCAACGATTTCCTAAATGCCCATGTGCATGCTTTCCAGCTATTTTCTCGATACTTCTCTCATTTGATAGTCAATACAGGTTGTTAAGGCAAACTTGTTCTAAGACTCAAAAAAAATAAAATCTTTGGCGCATGTTATAAGAGAGAAACGGGGATATCGTATTGTCGACAGACCAATGCAGCAAGATAATATAATTTTTGTGATGGTTTAAACTGGCTAATTGACCCAGAGTAATTAGCTATAATTTTAAATAAGAACTAGTGCTCGGACCTTACTATAAAATAATCGTAGTCCGGGTTGAGGTGCATCCAATGGTATCGCTTTCATGAAAGTAGTGTTTTTGTGTCTAATTATTTCGAGCTTTGTGTAAAACAAAACAAAAAAAACTCAAGCGCTTTTTTAAGGCCTTAAGATATGAACGCAGGAAGGCTACTTGCATGTTAACGAAACAAATGGATATCTCTAAACACTTTTCATAGCTTTTGTAATTGAACACTTGACCACAGAAACCTCTAAACGATCATGCGTGAAGAATACTGCGCTATTAAACAATACACGCGCAGCGTGCACAGGTGTAATTAACCGACCAACCGACTTCAATAGTTGTGGTGAGAGAAACGTATAATCTTCTTCCGTCCACCGAGCACCGAATTCAAGCGCTGCATTTTCAGCAAAATTGAACTAAATTACTGGAGTATCTCAGCGGCTGAAACAAGTAAATATACGAAGTGCATTTTAGATTATATTGTAGACCATCATTAATGCGGTGTAGTCCCAACAGGAGTAACGGCCAACGTTCGCGCTGACTACATGCCTTTTTAAGAACGGAATATGCCCTTCGTTTAGTTCTTCTAGTAATCCCAGAAACAATTTTTGACGAATAAAGGAAAGAATGCTCCAGGTGGCCATGCACTACAAAACACCGAGCGATGGTGCAGATTAGGAATGTTCTTCACGCGTATTCAGTTTTGCAGACTTAATCTCCACCTCTACGTAGGTGCATAAAATAAACTATGTTTTTTTTTTGTTTTTGTTTTTTTTTTTTTTTTACAATTGCATTCAGACTTTGGTCTTCCAAATGTTAACTATTGTATTTTTTTTTCGAATCAACGAATACTGAAATATGATGAGACAGGTGTTTCTTGTCAAATAAAACAATACACGTGCAGTTAACAGACAAATGCATGTCTATATGTTGCACATTATTGCCGCGCGCGCAGCTGGCCAAGTAGGCAGCGCGCGCGTGGCCCAACGGTTATCGCGCCTGCCTCCCACGCGGAAAGCCAGGGTTCGATTCCTGGGAGCGACGTGTACTTTGTTTATTCCGGCAATTCAGTGTTCTCGAAAATTAGCGAATCCTGTTGCTAGTTCGAGGTCCGAATGTTCTACGCGTCGAACTTTCTACGCCGATTATTCCAGAAGCCCACGCGTGCACCTAAGGGGTTTCGCGTGGCGAGCCAAAGTCAGTTTCGCCTCAGCGTTCGATCCTGCTACTTCACCGCCCGTGACGCTGTGTTTTTATCTTTCTTTTACCTTTTATTTTTTGGGCGCAAGTTTGTCCCCTTAAACGTTTAGTTTCTTCAGTTATTATTGCCTCATCACCTGTCATTCGTGACATTTTGGTGGAGATGCGGGGTACCATCCTATGCCCGTAAAGCGTACACCTACGAAGACACCCGGCCCGACTGAGGTGCTCAGCCCCGGAAGGCTACCCTTCGCCGAAGACGCCGAAGCCTGAAGAAGCCGTCGGACGAGAGGTCAGTCCCCTGAATTGGGTCTCTTGCCCGAGAACCGGAGGAAGAAAATACCGTCCATGATCACCGCACCCGTCGTCATCCTGCCCGTCCCTCCCCGTACTCCGACGCCCTTTCACCGCGAAGTCTACGAGGATGTCGAAGACTGGCTGCAGCATTACGAACGTGTAGCTCGCCACAACGAATGGACGGATGAGCAACGCCTCCAGAATCTGTACTTCTCGCTGGAGGGCACCTCGATGCGCTGGTTTGAAAACCACGAAGCCTCCTTCACTACATGGTAGTCCTGCGTCGCCGAACTGAAGCGGACGTTCCTTAACCACAACCGTCGCCAGCGAGCAGAGGACCTACTTCAAACAAGGGCGCAGGGCCCCAACGAAAGCGTGACCAGCTTTGTTGAGGATGTCCTTCGGCTAAGTGCCCGAGCGGATCCGGAGGTCGCAGAGGAAAAGAAACTTCGAGTCCTCATGCGTGGCGTCGAGGCAGAAATTTTCGGAGGCCTGGTCCGCAACCCCCCGACGGCCGTCGATGCTTTTGTGAGTGAAGCTACCAACATCGAGCGCGCACTGACTGCCCGAGCAAGCCACTACCACCGAATCGCCGGCGCGCCTGCTGCTCCAACTGTCGCTGCTTCCCTTCTGGACATGAATACCAGTAGTGCCGACAGCCTTCGAGAGATCGTCCGTGAAGTCGTCCGGGAAGAACTCCAGAAGATACTTCCCGCTGCGGATCGCCCGTCCTCACTGTCGCTCGCCGAAGTCGTCCGGGAGGAAGTTCACCGAGCCTTCCAACTTGAGGTTCCGATCAACACGACGACGCCAGAGGAGCCGACTTTGAGTTACGCCGCCATGGCCCGACGACCGCCGCAAGCAAACCGCCAGGCCACGGCGCCACCCCGTCGAGACCTTCCGATGCCACAGTATCCTCGACGCCAGAAAGGACAAGTCCAGGACGTCCGCCCGGAGCAACCCTTGCCGAGGAAGACCGACGTGTGGCGAACGGCCGACCGACGCCCGCTCTGCAACCACTGCGGGGAAGCCGACCATGTGTACCGCCGATGCTCATACCGACGACTCGGGCTGTGCGGATTCCACCCAAACGACCCGCGCCCCCGCTATGGTGAACGCCCTCGAGAGATCGACGAGTACCTGCGACGACCTCAGTCTCCCGAGCCTGCGTCCCACCGAGAGTTCCGGTCGCCGTCGCCACGACGTCCAGCTTCACCGATGCACCGACCCCGACGTGAAAGCCTGTCACCCCTCGCTCCTCGCCGGGGAAAATAGGCGCGGCAGCCCCTGGAGGTGGAGTTGCCAAAGACGACCGACGCCAAGATCCTCCACGAATGTCGGAGGGCCCCCACTTGAAAGCTACCAGAGACCGAAATGACGCCCCTGCAGCGGTGTCCAATAGCCTAAACGTCGTCATCGACGGCCACGACGCATCAGCACTCGTGGACACCGGAGCAGACTACTCAGTCCCGAGTGGAAGGCTCTCCCGCCGCCTTCGAAAAGTCACGACGCCGTGGGATGGACCTCAAATACGAACCGCCGGAGGGCACCTCATCACGGCGGTTGGGAGATGCACTGCTCGCGACGAGATCCACGGTGAGACGTGCCCTGTCAAGTTCGTCGTTCTGGAAGACTGTCCGAGAGACGTTATCCTGGGAATGGACTTTCTCTGCGAGTATGACGCCGTCATCGACCTCGGAGAAAACCGGCTGACGCCACGAAAACCTGCTCCATCAGCGCAGGAACAGAAAGCGGCGTCGCCCGCGTTATGTCTTCGCAAACCACGTGAACCTACCACCGCGGTCAAGTGTTTTCGTACCCGTCGGGGTTGATGAGAATTTCTGCGGTGACGTTTTGCTCGAAAGAAGCCTCCAGTTGCTTCTAGGATGAGGGATCGGCATCGCAAGAGGCGTCGCGGAGCTCCAAGACGGACACACTGTCGCACTCGCAACGAACTTCCGACAGGAGGCCCAGCAGCTTACGAAAGGCACCGCCATGGGTCACGCCGAGGAGCTCCCGGACTCAGCCGCGATCGCCGGAATATCAGAAGACCTCTCTTCGTGGCCACCCAAGACAACGCCGCCTTCGCACTTTGACATCGACCCAACCCTGTCTACCCACAAAGACGACAACTCGGTGACCTTCTCGCCGAGTTCAATGGGTGCTTCTTCACATCGTCAAAGGTGCGCCAAACGACCGTTGCGAAGCATCGAATTGTCACTGAAGACAACGCGCTTCCTGTTCATCAGTCGCCGTACCGTGTTTTTGTGAAAGAGAGACAAGTCATCCAGAATCAGGTCCAAGAAATGCTCGATGACGACAATGTCCAGCCCTCAAGCAGCCCGTGGGCTTCAGCGGTAGTCCTTGTGAAAAAGAAAGACGAGACTCTTCGGCTCTGCGTGGTCTGTCGCCGACTGAACGCTTTAACAAAAAAGGACGTCTACCCGCTGCCACGCATCGATGACACCCTGGACCGGCTCCGCCACGCCCGATACTTTTCGTTGATGGACGTGAACTGTCGGTACTGGCAGATCGAGGTCGACGAACGAGATCCTTAAAAGACTGCCTTCGTCACGCCGGACGGGCTGTACTAATTTAAAGTGATGCCGTTCAGACTATGCGCAGAACCGGCGACGTTGCAACGCGTAATGGACACCGTTCTTTCCGGCTTGAAATGGCAAAGTTGTTTCGTCTATCTCGACGACGTCGTGGTATTCGCCAGTGACTTTGACGAGCACCTCAGACGCTTGCGAGCCGTGCTACAGGCTATCCAGAATGCCGGACTGACACTGAAGCCGTCAAAATGTCGGTTTGCTTACGGTGAGCTCAAATTCCTGGACCATGTCGTGAGTGCTCAAGGTGTATGTCCTGACCCTGCAAAAACATCCGCTGTCGCCAAATTTCCGAAGCCATCAGACAAGAAAGCCGTACGAAGATTTCTTGGGCTGTGCGCATACTACAGGCGTTTCGTTTGCAATTTTGACAAGATTTCTGCACCGCTCACGCATCTGACGAAGGACGACGTGAACTTCCAGTAGGGGGAGGCGAAAGAACAAGGGTTCAACGAACCGAAGGAAAGACTTCAGTCGCCCCCTATCCTCGGACACTTCGATCCATCACTGGAAACGGAAGTTCACACGGACACCAGCAACGCCGGGCTAGGTGCGGTGCTCGTCCATAGACAAAACAGAGCAGAGAGGGTGATCGCTTACGCAAGCCGGGCACTGTCGAAGGCAGAGGAAGATTACTCGGCAACCGACAAGGAATGTCTCGCTGTGGTCTGGGCGTTAACCAAGTTCCGCCCATACCTGTACGGGACCCCGTTCCGCGTAATCCCGGACCACCACGCAATCTGTTGGCTCGCCAACCTCAAGGACCCGTCAGGACGCCTCGCTTGCTGGAGCTTTCGACTGCAAGAATTCGGCGTGACCATTGTGCACAAGTCTGGTCGCAAGCATAATGACGCCGATTGTTTGTCTAGGGCACCAGTCGCATCTCCTCCCGACAGCACCGACGACGATGATGACGCCCGTTTTGTCGGAGCTATTTCAGATACCGACATGGGAGCACCTCAACGAGACGATCCCGAACGTCGCGCCGTGATCGACCACCTCGAAGCTCAAGGGTGCTCAGTTCCGCGAGTCTTTTCCCGAGACTTGCCCAGCTACGTTCTGCGGCGAGGCGTGCTCTTTAAGGAAAACTTTGGAACGAGCAACCCTGCCTGGCTGCTGGTTGTTCCGGCCAGCCTGCGAGAAAAAATTTTTCAAGCATGCCATGACGACCCGACGGCTGGACACTTTGGCTACAGCAGGACGCTCGCCCGGATTTGTGACAAGTACTACTGGCGGAGACTCCCGAAAACAGTCCACCTGTACACACGGTCGTGCCATGGGTGCCAAGGACGTAAGAAACCTCCGACTAAGCCAGCAGGACTCCTGCAGTCGATACCTGCACCGACTACGCCCTTCGAGCAGGTCGGAATGGATTTACTTGGGCCGTTCCCAACATCGACACAAGGAAATCGGTGGATTATCGTCGCGACCGATTATATTATACGATACGCCGCGACGAAAGCCCTGCCATCGGGAACAGCTGTAGAAGTCGCCAAGTTTTTTGTCGAGTCTATTCTCTTTCGACAGGGAGCACCTGAAGTGCTGATCACAGATCGCACGTCATCCTTCATGGCGCAGCTGACTCAAGAAGTTCTTCGGCTCAGTCCTACCATCCATCGACGAACAACCGCTTATCATCCGCAGACCAACAGGCTAACGGAGCGGCTCAACAAGACGATTGCCGACATGATCTCCATGTATGTCGACGTAGAGCGCAAAACATGGGATCAGGTGTTGCCGTACGTCACGTTTGCGTACAACACAGCGGTGCAAGAAACCACGGCAATGACACCGTTCCAACTGGTACACGGCCGAACGGTTATGACAATTCTCGACGCCATGCTGCCTCACGTGCCGGCCGACGATGGCAACGACGACGCTCAACTGATCTCGCAACGCGCGGAAGAAGCTCGCCAACTGGCAAGAATCAAGATTTATGACCAACAGCGGGTCGATGCACGCCGCTATAACCTTCGTCGCCGGGACGTCCACTTTCAACCCGGAGACCGGGTGTTGGTGTGGACACCGATACGCCGCCGTGGTCTCAGCGAGAAACTCCTGAAACGCTACTTCGGACAATACAAAGTGCTTCATCCACTCGGAGATCTGAACTACGAGGTGATTCCCGACGGAGCACGGACTTCATCACGCCAGCCTCCACGACCAGAAGTCGTCCGCGTCGTGCGCATGAAGCCATACTATGCTCGATAGGACTGTGGACCTTATGTGCTCCAAATGACTCTTTAGTTTACCGTTATGTCTTTTTGCTTTGTATTGTTTTGTGCTGCATCGGGGAGTTGCATTTTTTAAAGGGGGGGGGGGGGGAGTAATTCCGCGCGCGCAGCTGGCCAAGTAGGCAGCGCGCGCGTGGCCTAACGGTTATCGTGCCTTCCTCCCACGCGAAAAGCCAGGGTTCGATTCCTGGGAGCGACGTGTATTTTGTTTATTCCTGCAATTTAGTGTTCTGAAAAATTCGCGAATCTTGTTGCTTGTTCGAGGTCCGAATGGTTGTACGCGTCGAACTTTCTACGGCGATTATCGCAGAAGCCCACGCGTGTACATAAGGGGGTTTCGCGTGTTGAGCCAAAGTCAGTTTCGTCTCAGCATTCGATCCTGCTGCTTCGCCGCCTTCGACGCCCGCGACGCTCTGTTGTTATCTTTCTTTTTCCTTTAAGTTTTTAGGCACAAGTTCGCCCCATTGCACGTTTAGTTTCTTCAGTTATTATCGCGTCATCGCTTGTCATTCGTGACAATATTCATTATATGTGGTACCTTATTACAAACATGAAACGGAAAACAAATTGTGATATTTAGAGTTTTTCCAGGACGACATGAAGCTCTTGCTAATAGCCATCAGCAATGGGCCGGCTTTGTTTAGATTTTATTTGTGACCACCCAGTAACTATTTTTCATTACTCTTGAATTGGTGCCGTGTAAGAGCGGAAACAGATGGCAAGACAAGAAGCGAAGTAAGCAAACATCCAGCGCTGTGTTTGTAGGTAGTCTCCACCGATATTAGAGCCCCATATGCCGTCACAGTTAAGTTGGCGGTACTAAGGAACGTTTTGCCGGAGGCACTTCATTTTTAGGGAGGAAATAGAACAAAGACTTACCCACTTTCATGACCCAAGCAAAATGTGCCTGGACAAAGCGAACCGATCTTCAGGCGTCTGAAATCGCCTTGTCGAATGGGTCTCCGATATTGTTAAATTGTGCTAATTATTTCTAGTCCAGTGTTTTCTTTTATATAAATTTTTTTAATGTCTTTACCTGAATCATGCACACACTAACCAAATATATGCCTTTCAACCTAATACATGTGAGATTTCAACTGCAATACATCTTGAAATTTATGAATTCAAGGAATCGACAACCGCTCACAGACGTTGGAATAGTTGAAGGTGCCGTACGAGTGGCCAAGAACGACCCAGACGATGCTGAAGAACCGGATTCCGTGCAGGAAGCGAAGCTTGTAAGCGTCCGACTGCTTGTCATTGTTTACAGCCAGCATAGTTCTTGTGCTCGCAGGAATGGAGAAGGCCGTTAAGTACTTGACCAGTTTTCCTGCGGTAAGAAAAATTGTCACGTGTTGTGAGCACTTTAAACTGGGATATATTTCCAGAAGAAAATAATTCATTAGGAGAGATAGACTGAAATTGTGTCAATAACTAGAAAAAATAAACACTTTGTGTACAAACATTTCATTCTAATACTAACCCCCAGACTTTGTGAAAAATGCTTTCCTGTTCACTTCTGAAAAAAAACACAAAAAACGAGGCTCTGTGTATTTCTTATTAAACTGCCAATAAATGATATCAGAAACATAAATTCACAAAGCGCTTGTTTAAAAAAATTGATATGTTCGATTACAAAATCTTTCTGAATGCCACCTCACAGTTGAAAACGTTTCTTTGGCAGGTCATACGACTAGTAAACTTCACGCTCCAAAGCATTGTGAACATTTTTAACGTCCAAAACTCGGTAACGCAGGGAGCAGCTAATTTAAACGGCGTCTTTTGCTTCGTAATTTTGAGGCATGTGTGTGGGGTTTTGCTTTGATCGCACGACTCCTTCCGAATATTTCACACAATCAGATCTCAATATTCAATGATTTTTAATTTTTGACTGTGAATCTGGTCTTACGCTTTACTGATCCCTTTAAATATTAAAGTTTTAATATAATTAATATGAATCTACACTTGTTGTCGGGGGCTAGCATGGGGTCTAATAAAAAAAAAGTTTACAGTGAGGCAGGCAAAATATTTACATTATAAAATAAAATTAAAGAAACCGCACAACAAAGTAGGCATGCAAGTGTTCTTTTTTTCATTAAACACAAGATTATAAGTATCCAGTCTTGTATGTCCCCCTAAAAGTCAACAACACAATTAGGCATATTAGCTTGTCTTTTCAGTTTTACGGTGTTGGATATGATATTTCAGCTGAAAATAAACTACTCTTTAATTTGATTTTTTTTTATTCAGGATTTAGACTTAAGATTATTTTAAGATAATTACTTGCTGCAGTCTTCGAATTTTATGACGAAACATAGGCTTTCTCTCTCATTTCTGAATAGCACGCGGGTAACCAACTACTAATTTGTAAAGGTGCGCCTAGCGATGGACGACTTTTCAGAAAGGAGAGTATCCAAAAATATACAGAGACAATGAACGCACAACATTAGCGCGCTAGTTGACGCTGTGCCAAATATAGGCCCATGAGCAATAAGCAAATGCGTTACTAAGGCCCATTTTATTAAGTACTTTACTGGTCAAATAACAGACAGCACAATCCCTCACGCATGCTAAAGCCACATCACGACACGTTTGCAGGCTTAGGAAATTTTTTTAATTGCCTTAGAGTATACATGAAGTGCGGGAGATCAATATGGAGTGCATTATGAGGTATAAAATGCGGGTATTTGAGTGTGGAAAGGTAGAAAGACGTGTTACTTATCATATGTGGAGTGCATGTTCCTGTGTTCCAACGTGCACGTTTCAAGTCAGATTCACTTTAGTGCCAGGTCTCTCATATCGATCACTGACATGTTTCCTATTTTGTAACCTCCTAAACAATAGCACAAGATATGCAAAGAGTCCTCAAAGCATTATCATTTCCTAAGAAACTACACTTTTATGATTTTGTGAGTGAATGATTGTATTTTCAAAGAGTGTTCACTTCTGGACAAGGAGTAGATCATTCCTCGAGCAGCGTTGGGATTTATAGCGTGAAACATAATTGCTACTTTCAAATTTTTTTTCGACAGTTTAGAGAGATATTCTACGAAAACTAATTGGAGCTCAAAAGACGAAGACAAGAAAGGGACACATACACGGCGTTTACTCTAACCCAGGTGTAAGAATATCGCTGTCTCTACTGTGCTCGGGGAGTTCTTTTATAAGTTTAAAGTGTGCCGTCAAGTTATTAAAACGCATACTAATATACTTCCATTAAACAAAGGGGACTTAACTGCTTTCTTAGATACCGCTGCATTATTTATAATATAAATCAGACACAAAATACAGCATGCACAATCTAGTTTAGGGTTAGAAAAATGTTTCTGGCCTATATTCGAACATAAAAAAAGCAATCATATCTCCAGTTACCTACCTCGAGACGCATCTTTCCCATAGCGATATTTCTGGATGAGATCAATCGCTGTGCTTAAAACCAGGACCAAAGCGAGCACGCAGAGGAACATACTGAACAATAACAGTTCGATAATAATATTTTGACATTTACATACACATTACACGTCACTTTGGAATGCTAAACATTCATAAGAACATATTATACAACAACGCACCTATCGGTGTCGGTATGCGTCAAAGTTTTGATACGGAAAGTATTCTCAGCAAATAGAAGACATTGAGGGGACCGCGTGAGATTGTAGTCACTGCAACGTTCTGGTTCACCAGGAGCAGTGTTTGTTTTATAGAACAAATTTAATATGCAGAAAGCAGGGATCAACAACTACCCGCAGCTTCGGATTCATAAAAAAATTGCTAGAATTTCTGGGTTGAAACAATGGTGAATAGGCGAAAATCACACTTTACGAAGTTGAGTGCAAATATTCAGCAGGCACAACTACTATATCTATCTTTTAACTCCAAAACCTCTTGTTTTGACATTTTAGTAACTTGCCTATAGTGTGTAATGCTACTTTAATTAGGGAAGCAATCGAATATTACGAATACGCAAAAAAAAGTGGAACTTGATTTTTTTTGCTTTTTAGTTTGGAGCTTGAGAGGAAAAACTGGGCACATAAAAATCACACACTTTTAAATTAGAAAAAATAACGCTTGCACAAATATTGACATACATGTTCAGTGAAGATAATTTATTGTCTATTACCAACAGTACATTCGAAACTTTGTTAACTAAAATGAGAAGTCATAGCTGACGGGACGGCAGCAGCCGACATCGAAATTGAACATATCTCAAATGCATAACCTAATAACGCAATGCGAAAGATGCATATCAAAGTATATGGTTAAAACAAAAGCATTCAGTGAGACTTCCAACACATTTTATTGTCAGTTTAAAATCAGGCTTTTATAGAAGTGTCGAGGCAATAATCTTATTAGACTCTGTTTTTTATATACTGCAAAAATTGGTGAACGCCTAAGCATTAGATTCAATTTATACAACATACAAAAAAAATTATCTTCCCCGGAAACGAATTTGGCCAAATGATCAGTTGATTAGATACTAATAGAAAGAAATAGCTACAATAACAATGGCAAGTTGTCTAATTGCCTATCACCACACATAAGAAGACCACTCAAATGTTTTAGATCGTAACAATATCTCGTTTTGGGGTCATAACACAGTAAGGAAACCTGAAAAACCTTAACATTAAAATATGCGTGGCATTTACCACTTTTCAAACCGCGGCCAAGACATCGCGATACGACTCTTTTCTAAGATATATCTCAAAAAAGGGATGTTCGTAGGTTAATTCGCAAAACACCATCATTCATTCACTACACACCTGCCCATATTAGTTGATCAACGTGTAATTTTTTAGAGCCCAGGTTCGCAAACCATGCCCTTCAGGAACGACAGCCAAAAGGCGAAATACGGTTAAAAAGAAAGGCCATGGCGCGCTTTCTCACTTGAGTTGACTTCTTTTGATCATGGCTTTACACAAAGGGCGCGTGACCTTCGAAATTCCAGTCCGTGACAAAAGGACGGACGACCTCAATGGAAAGGTAGCTGTTGTAAACCCATCATTTTTACCCGGCGGTAAAGTTCAGTATCCTGGTCACAAGCACAGTCATTCCCTATACCATTACTGAATAAGGCCAGCCATCGTAGTTTCGCGATTTGCAAACATCGAAACCTTAGCGATCCAGAACTGAATAATTTGGGTATCAGCACGTCCATTATATATACTTCGATCGCTATCCAACCAATTATAGAGTTTATTTATGAGAAAGGAACAAACGGTCATATGAAGGGCATATAATTGTTTCTACTATCGACTACTGCTTTGAATGCATATAATGCCCTATGATCCATTGCCTGCAAGCAATCTAGTCTTCACTTTGAAATATTAACAACCAAACCTGGCAAATAGAAAGGAATCAAAAGGTAAGCGTTAAACGCACTTTGTTTTCTGCCATCATTAGCTGTATTCAAGATTACGGTTGTATTGACACGTAATGTGTAATGCGTCTCAACTAACAATTGCTTTACGTGAAGACAAGGAGCATCCCAAACTTGGGTCCGGCAGGTATTCTTGAATTAATCATATAGGCACAACATCTGCTCGAATTAGATGGTGTATATCATAATATTAGCAATATTCCACCTTATACAATATGTGCGACAAATATACTCGTTCGGTGTTGTTCTTCTTACGAAGAATTATGTTGATCACAATCTGTGGCAAATATATCTGGGAAACGTGAAAGCCTGAACGTTGGCGAACTGTGTGGTCTTAAACTCAGATAATAAAATGATTCTATCATTTTGGTAAAGTTGACATTTTGGGTTAGCTACTTTGTGTGCTAAATACCTCCCTACCTTTTTGGAAATGCAAGCTATTTGTTTCTTTGAAACTTACTTTTTAGGGCTGTAATTCTTTCCCTGCACAAATGGCCACTTAGCAGTTAATACTTACTTGGTCATTTGGTCTGTCGAGAATGTTGATAAAGTTAAAAGAAACAGGGACATATCGCTGTGTATTGGGATAACCGAAATACTGGAATTGGTGTACCATAGCGATGCAGGATGATAATCTTTTATTGAAGCCTTTTCGTTTTATTAATTAGAGCGTTTTGTGTGACAACCAAATTTAAAGGTCTGATCGCATCAGCAGTGAAGAAAAGAGCAAATGTCTGCATATGTTTACTGATGTAAAACTGTCAGCTGTGACTATGACTCAAGTATTTCAAATGTTTATAATTTGGAAAACACGACAATAATAAAAAAGTATTTGAAAGAAAGATAGCAATGAAATATGGTAACAGAAAATGTACTTCTATTTTCTGAACGCGGGTTGTCACTGAGGCAGTGATGATTAAACAAAAAAAATAGGATTACGAGGTCAGCGACGT